TTCTCATCAGCATAACATAACAGGAATAACATCCTGTTACTCCTTTCTGTCTAAAAAAATAAACCTAGACTCCTTGTCTTCCCCAACTACCACTCATTTTCTGTTCCCTTTTTCAGCAAGATTCATTAGAAGAACTGCATTATATTAATAAATACTCATTGTTGTCAGCTCCCCTCTTTCCATTCCATTCTCTGAACCCACTCCAACATTCTCTACCATTCTACCAAAACTGCGTGTCAAGGCTGCCAGTGTGCTCATGCTGCCAAATCCAATCCAGTCTTTAATCCTTACACTATTTGCCTTATATGCAGTAGTTGATAAAGTAACTTAGAATCTTTAAACCTTGGTTTTTTTCTTCCAAAAAAACCAGGAATGATAATAATAGTACCTATTTTAAAATGTGATTATGAAAATTAAAAAAGAAATAAAACTTTTTGTAAAAGCACAGTACCTTGTTCACAGTTAGGAATGCAATAAATGTCAGTTATTATTGGGGTTAATCAGCCCTGCTACCTACATTCTACTCATTGTCTAAAAATAGAGTCCATTCCATATTCCAGACACAGAATTTTGGAAGATAATATGATTCCATAATACTATGAAAATGAATATAATCTCAACCTGCCTATAGTATTAGGCAAATAACCTATTCCACTATATAAAGAACAACCTTAAAATTTCTTTCTTGTCCTTAGTTGCTCATGATTCTGAAATAACTACCACTAATTTCCATCTCTCTCCAGGTCTGGTTCTCATTTCTATTCAACAGCTTGGTCTAGATATTTAATTATCTGATCAAATTTTTCTTTCATTCTCTATGTCTCATTAATCACCAAATCTAGTCAATTCCACCTCTGTAATGGCTCTCACACCCATCTATTAATACAAGAATATATGCTTAAGAGAGCAAGGAACATGTCTGTTTCTGCAACCCACCATATACAGGACAGCACCAGGTAAAGTGCCTGGCATATAATAGGTACCAGCATCCTACAAAGCAATCTCATTACAACATAAATTTTACAGAAGAAAAAATGAGGCATAGAGAAGTGAACTTGCACAATCAATTAGTAGTGGAAATGATACAAAAATTTGCTCTCCACCCTTCTGATCTTAGCAATATAACTGAGCCAGAGCCTGGGTGAAATACTTGTATGAAGGAGAGGGTAATTTGCTTTCTATCATTACTTGATTTTGGCCTTAATCTTTTCACTGCAAATTAGGATTTAAAATGCTATCAGCTACTTAATCTGAGTACCAAAGAAACATAAGGCAACAACTTTAATATTAAGTCAAAAAGAATTTTCTCTTCGCTGAAATTCTACAGAATAGCACTAATTCAATCAAAAAAATCAATCTTCCTATCTATATGTACACAGAAACATATTATACCACTTCCCTTGGTTTTTAATGAAATAATATTAGAAGGCCTATTAGAGTTTTAACGCACTAGGCAGACCAAGCCAAATGATTAATTTCAGCCTTGTGTATCCTAGTCTTACTGCCAAGCCTCTTAAAAGATGTAACTCAAGAAGACCTACCACTTGGAAATGGAAACTGGTACCAAATAGTCATTATGGAGAACAGCATAAAGGTTCCTCAAAAAGTTGAAAATAGAACTACTTTATGATCCAGCAATCCCACTACTGAGTATAAATCCAAAGAAAATGTAATCAATATGTCAAAGAGATATCTGCACTGCAATGTTCATTTCAGCATTATTTACAATAGCCAAGATATATATATTAATAGAAACAAACTAAAATCAGTTGACAAATGAACAGATAAAGAAAATGTGGTATGTATATTTGTGTGTGTGCACATGTATATACATACACACACACACACACAAAATGGAATATTACTCAATCTTAAAAAAAAGAAAATCTTGCGGTTTGCAACAACATGGATGAACCTGGAGGACATTATACTAAGTGAAATAAGCTAAATGCAAAAAGACAAATACTGCATGATCTCACCTATATAAGGAATCTAAAAGAGTCAAACTCATAGAAACAGAATAGAATGGAGGTTACCAGGGGGTGAGGGGGAGGGAAATGGGATGATGTTGGTCAGGAGGTACAAAGTTTCAGTAATGCAAGATGAATAAGCTCTGGAGATTTAACATACAACAAGGTGACTACAGTTAACAATAGTATATATTTGAAATTTGCTAAGAGAGAGATCTTAAATATTCTCACCACAAAATGAAAAAAAACAAAACAAGAAAAAATGACAAATTATGTGAGACGATGAATATGCTAATTATTATAGCTTACTGTAGTGACTATTTCACAATGCATATCAAATCAAGTTGGGCCAGGCACGGTGGCTCACACCTGTAATCCTAGCACTCTGGGAGGCCAAGGCGGGAGGATTGCTTGAGCTCAGGAGTTAGACACCAGCCTGGGCAAGAGCAAGATCCCGTCTCTACTATAAATAGAAAGAAATTAGCTAAACAACTGAAAATAGAAAAAAATTAGCCAGACATGGTAGTGCACATCTGTAATCCCAGCTACTTGAGAGGATGAGGCAGGAGGATCATTTGAGCCCAGGAGTTTGAGGTTACTGTGAGCTACCGTGTTTCCTTGAAAATAAGACAGGGTCTTATATTTATTTTTCCTCAAGAAGACACCCTAGGGCTTATTTTCAGGGGATGTATTATTTTCCCCTCAAAGCCTCAGCTTGCAGCACGCACAGGATGGCCAGGACCTGACAGGGGGAGCCAACCTTAGTGGGGCTGCCCATACCTATCCAGTCACCTCTGGGATAGTAGCTGTCACGATGGGGCAGATGAGAAGGGCTGCTCCTCGTCTTTACTGCTCCACGAGGAAATGCATGGTTTGTGCAGATAAGCTGCATAAGCCACGCCCGTCACTAGGTCTTATTTTCGGGGTAGGGCTTATACTGTGCACATGCTTAGAAATCCTGCTAGGGCTTATTTTATGGGTAGGTCTTATTTTCAGGGAAACACAGTAGGCTAATGCCACGGCACTCTAACCCAGGTGACAGAGTGAGATTCTGCCTCAAAAAGAAAAAAAAATCTTGTGGAGTTGTTAAGTGTTTTCCTATTGTTGTTGATGATATACATGAGAATGGAAATCTTTTTGTTTCTAGGCAATAGACCATCTTACATTTGCTTTAAGGGTTTCTCATTCACAAAGGGACAAAAAAACATACATACTATGGCTATACAGAAGGGAAACTTTTTAAAACATTGAAATACAGAGAAAGGAAACTCAAAGAAATATATTCTGATATATTCATCTTTCACTTTCATTAAGAAAAACGATTTAAAAACAAGTATAAAATTAAATTAAACCTATGTTATGACCAGGTAAGATAGGACAAAGAAAACTGTCTTAGTGCTATTCTAATGAAAAGTTTTTGGGTTAGTATTCATCAATGGGAAAATGCCATCCACAATTTTTTATTCAGTTTGAGTCATGTATATTAGAGCTATTAACAGTGGACACTAGTTTTAGAAATGAATCGTGGTGCTCTAGCAATTCTGAACATATATTCCTATATTTCAAGTTATTGTCGGCTTTTAGTTTTAAACTAGAGTATATTTCAGAATTAATAACTTTCAGTGAAAAACAAGGTATCCATTATATACACATACAGAAAAATTTCAAGTTCTGATACATCACAATGCCACTTTTTTTTAGTCTTTACTTTGGAACTTCCATTATAACAATTCTACAATTCTTGAAACACTACCTTTTGAGGAATAACAGTCACCTTAATCCAAAAACATCTGAAGGTGGCTACATCAGAAGAAAAAAAATTGTTGGAAACCTTTAAAAAAAATCTTTATCTAGTGTTTTTGCAATGAAACTCACAAAATTATTTGTAACTCAGTGTAAAAAATCCTGAAGGAATAAATTAACCACTTTCCACAATTCTAATTCTTAAAATGTTTTTAGAAAACGTCAAGAAATCAGTAAGTTAAACAGATGATCACAGCTACTGATCAAAGGAAAAACTTATTTTTTCTATAGTCCAACACTCTGGCCACATAATGACTTTCACAATAAAGTGGACAGACAAGCCAGAAAGACCTAAACTCACATCCTGGTCTAGCCTAACTTACAAGTCAGGGTCTCCCAGGCTTCAGTTTCCTCACTTGTAAAATTAATGGAGTTATTCATTCGATGTTGGTTGAATGCCTATTAGGTGCCAAACCCTGCGCTACCAATGGTAACTTGTTATTTGATTTTGTTTTAAGTAAATAAAACCATGTCCTTTGACCTTGCAAAGCTCCTAATCTTGTGAAGAGACAAATAAATGCAACATGATAACTGCTATAAACAAACTGCTATGCCTGGACAAATCCAAAAGGCTGCAGAGGGGAGAGTCACTGAAGCTGAAACTTGTAGAATGACTATGAGTTGCTTAGTTAGAGGTGGAAATTATGGATATTCCCTGAAGAACAGAGTGTGCACAAATAAGAGCACAAGAAAAGGTAAAAAGGGAGAGGTTTAATATAGATGATGCATACACTAGATGCCAGAGAAAACTGGTGGGGGATAAACTTAGAGCCTTATATGCCACATTAGGAAATTTGACCTTTAGGAAATAAGCCACTCAAACATTATTGGTAAGGTTCCTTTTACACTAAGACTCTGGAAATTGGCTATAGGTCCAACCAGATAAATCGAATTTCACTTGAAGTTGTTAAGAGTCTCTTCCAGCAAAAAAAAAAAAGCAAAACTATCTAACTTTTGATGCTGATACTATGAAACCTAAAAGATCTCTCTTAACTGATAAATTTTAGGACTAGCAGATTTCTATTATTATTATAGTAATAAAGCATTTGAAAAGCAAGATACAGGACAAATGATTTAGTTCTGCTTTTATCAAATACAAACTGTAAACTTACAAGTCTGAAATTTACATGCCCTCGAAAATGTTTTTTCATACTTTGTTCAAATCAAGCTCCATTCTGAAAATCAATAAACTAGAAGTACCTAAAGAGAATGTAAAGTCCCATTTACCTGTGTTCTGCGGGAACAGGTGGTGGCCAAACAGCAGGATCTCTAAATGGTTCATCGTGACAGGACACAGGGAAATCTGGGGGCTTGTCGATTTTAAAACTTTCTAAAGTGCTGACAATACTTTTAACTTGTTCATATTCTTCCAACAATTCCTGCCGAACCTTAAAAAAATTAGATTTTACTCTAGAAACTGTTTAAAGAGTTTATAAATTGTAAATAATCAATTGCTATAAAATGCAAGTTTTCTTAATGCCATACAAAGTATGCAAAAATGAATCATTAAAACATATTCAAAAGCACAAAGAACTACTTAAAGTAAGGTAGAGAGAAGGGCAGATATTAGTTTGAAAAAAGATAATTATGTACACCTTTTTTTTAATGTACACCTTTTAATAAGGGAAGTAGTTATATATCTTTCATAATGGAACTCTATTTCTACCAAAAAAATGTGATGATCATTAATACAATTTAAAACACGCAACTAAGTTGGTAACAAGTTAACCATTTCTAGAAATCTAAAATGTTAATGCTAAATCCTTTTAATATATTTGTAAGTAGATTCCAAAAAATTGTCAGCCAAATTTTCACCAGCATTTCCTATTCCCGATATCACTAAATATAAAATGCCTGTCATGAGTATCTAAAAGTCAAAAGCAATATAACAGTATGAACTATACACTTCCAATTTTTATTTAAATTCTCCTTCAACTAAAATCTGAATTCTTTTGGCCTTATTTAAATTCTTTCAAGTCCTGTGTAAAGTTTATTTTGTGTTCAAAAGCAAGATTTTTTTCCTATATTTAAAAAAATTTAACTGAGCACCTACTGTAAGGGAATTCTTGTGTTTTCAAACTCTGAGCTCATAAAATTTTCAAAAGCAAACAGATAAAGATTGAAAATTACATTTATAAATCCATTTTAATGATTCTAATTTTTTTTAACCAGAAAGCACATTTTACTGTAAAGCAAAGCTTAAGGAACTTTCCCTTACCTTTATCTTGAATACTATATTTAAAGGAACATATGAAAGAGTTACAGAATCAAAGAAAAATCTAGGTAAAATTCAATTGCTAAGACATACAATTATATAATATGCCATACTGGAAGAAATGAAATTTCAGAACCCAATGTAAAGAACATGGTAGAAATATCTGAATAGAAATGGTCACTATTTAACATATATAATTAAGAACATGTCAAAAATACTCCCATAAAAGATTAACAAACTAACTTGCCTGTGGCTGAAGGAAGGGTAGAAGAAAACAACTAAAATTTCAGCCTTAGTTACACCAAGTATGTTGTTCTCACTCGTTATAATTTGGTAACACTTAAATCGGAAAATAAGCCAAATTTACCCACAAAACTTAGTAAAACATCAATTTCTAACTAGTGGAAAAATTAGAAGAAACAATTGAAAGGCATTAGTACATAAAATGGAAACTTCAAAGAAATGCTTGACTTTGTACTTTTAATTTTAAAAAGATTTTAAGTTTTAACACTAAGTGGAGAGTGCTTGCTTTGGCCACACACTGACTAAAATTGGAACAATGCAGAGAAGATTAGCATGGCCCCTGCACACGGATGACACACAAACTTAGGAAGTGTTCCATATGTTTTGACTTCAAGTTTTTGAAAAAGTTTAGTATATTGTTTTAGTATAACAGGTGAAAAATACAAACTAATAAGCCCATATAAGACAAAAGCCAATTTTGTTTAACTAAACTTTATTGAAGATGGATGGTTTTATTTATTCATTTTCTTAAAGAAAGATATATTGCTTATAAGTATTACTTGTTCAAAAACATTCTTTTTTTAAAAGTTACAATGAATTTAGAATTAGGGCACCATCAAAAAATAAGAACTATGTTAAAAGATATTGATCAATTAAAATATTAAAATTAAATTAAAAAACAGTTAAGTGGGAAAATTATAATTCAAGTTTTTATTAACTGTACTATTAAATAATCAAGCTGTATAGTAAAAAGACAGCAAATATATTAATTTTTATTAGATTACTGACTCATTTTTATTTGTAAGGAGTCTTTCCAAAGATGAGGAAACTTTCTTGAGGAAAAGTTTTATGAAATGGGTAAAAACTACATGTAAAAATGAAAGGGAAAAGGGCAAGTAGAAATACCTTATTTTGAAAATCTGTAGTCACACACAAGTAACTGATTGGAAAAAAAAATTAAAAGTAGACTCAATTAGAATTAAATATCTTCAAATATATGATCAAAAATAAATAAAACATTAATTAGACAGGACAAGACATTAGAATATTATTCAAAGTACATTTTAAATATATTTCAGCATTCAGAAAAATAAGAACGATTTACAATATCTCAAACTAATTCTCCAACTGTAATCTCTCAAATGTAACAGGCTACTGCCACCCTCATTCACTGAATACTTTAAGGTGATCCTACCTGTTGCCATTTGCCTTTGATAGCTGGGTCTCTGACTGACTGGCAATGTCTCTGAATCTGCTGTATCACCCCCTGGTAATAAACCATGGATGAGTCATAATTTCCAAGAAGTGCATATTCTCTTCCTTTCTTTGCATTGTCACAAATCTCAGCCAAATTCATCTTCTTTCAGAGACCTAAACATAAAATATAACGACTTTAAGTGTTCAGCACCAACTTTAAAACATTTTTTTTATTATTCTTTAAAATATCTGCTTAAAACTACTTTGAAAGTCAAAATAGTTGCCTTTCATTCAAGGTTATCTGAACATATCTTATAACAGTGGTCCCAACATTTTTGGCACCAGGGACCAGTTTCATGGAAGACAATTTTTCCAGGGACTAGCAGTGGGGAGAGCAGGAGTAGTTTCAGGATGATTCAAGCACATTACATTCACTGTGCAGTCAAACCTCTCTGCTAATGATAACTTGTAATTGCAGCCACTCCCCCTCAACTGCCTCAACTGCTCAGGCATGTCACATCATCAGGCATTAGATTCTCATAAGGAGCACACAACCTAGATCCCTCGCCTGCACAGTTTACAGTAGGGTTGGGGCCCCTATGGGAATCTAATGCTGCCGCTAATCTGACAGGAGGCGGAGCTTATATGGTGATGTGAGCGATGGGGAGCCGCTCTCTGTAAATACAAACAAAGCTTGGCTCCCTGGCCCACGGCGCTCACCTCCTTCTGTACTGCCCAGTTCCTAACAGGCAGCGGACCAGAACCAGTCTTCAACCCAGAAGGGTTGGGGAACCACAGTCTTATACTGAACAAAGTTTCCAATTTGGGAAGTACTAAAATGATCATAATAGAATAACCAAGGAGATAACAGGGAGAGACGTTACAGAGCTCTGAACTATTGATTTATTTACAGGTATATAAATTGGACACTAGTTTTCCTTGTTCATTTATAATAACCACAAGCTGTAATCATAGCAAAGATGGCCTTGTTTTATTCAGTTTATTCTTGACAACACAGAAATAAATACACAAATATCACATAAATATGTTATATTTCCACTGATGGTAGTTAAAACTGTAGAAATCAGTTCTCACAAAAACTTTCTGGCCCCCAAAATAAAAAAGTTATACTTAAGGAACACATTTTAAAGGAACAGCCAGCCTATAGCTGTACATGCGCTGTTTATATGCATTTAATTGCCCCAACTAAAAAAACTATAAATTAAACTATCTGAACCGTTTTGTTCTTCAATGTGTAATCTTCTACAATCCTGTCATTCTCTACAGCTTTTTAGCTGCACAAATAACTATCATTAATCTTTTCCTTTCTATAAGACGCTAGTTAGAATATCCTCTAAACCTCTGGTTTCCACTGAAGTCCTCCAGTCTAGTAACTTTGGCTTTTCTTTCAAGCTTCCCAAAAGTCTCCTGGAATCATCCAAGGTTTCCATGCAAAGACACTTTCCTCCCAAGACTACAGAGGATAGAAGTCCAGAGATACAGAAGAATGATATTCTGGAAAAGAGTCTAAATTGCCATACTCCTATTTCCTAGAGCAGTAAACCAATGATTACACATAGTAGAGAAAATCAAAATACTTTTCTATGCCTTCCTGAGGGAATTAAACTTTTGGTTTGGAAACTTGATTTTTCCTCTCTCTCAATATCTTATCTATTCTTGAGGAGCTCAAAAATTCTTTCTCAAAATTAAATATGACCAGTCCTATGCATTTCAACTGACTTCAGCATGTTCTTGAAAATAAAGCTATTGTTTTATGCATTTTCGCATATTATTTGTCCCTTATGTCATCCAGTACAGGTTCCTTGAAGGTAGAGTTTTGTTACTTGAGAATCACACTGCAGCAAATAGTACACTACTTTTACACCATTACAAATTCCAATGTCTAGTAGATCTATCCACAGAATGCAAGATGCCATGGAAAGTCTATTCTTCAAATTTAGGACATTAACATAAAACAATAAGGCTGTATTACAATGCATAAGCTGCAATTAATAAATCCAGTGGAAACAAAGCTGCTCCATAAATTATTTCCTTTTAAAGTCACTATGGAGGAAGGAGAGGCGAGGCAGAAAAAATTAATTCATTAATTAAAGTCACTATGACACAAAAACATTAATTCTGCTAATAAGTACAGGTACACAAACTATCAAGGATAAAAAACATCTTTTCCCATAAAGGACCAGACAGTAAACACTTTAGACTTTGAGGGCTGACAAGCAAAATAGAGAATATTATGTAGTACTTATCTAATGAGACAAAACTTTCCATAATCTTTATTAATGAAATTCAAAATATAGTAATAACAGAGTACAACTTTCTGTAGGACAGGTCTACTAATGAGAAGAATGGAACTCTTTGGGGGGGGAGGATATATTTCACTTAGTTGGGATTCAAAGTTAGTGTTCTCTATCATCAAAATCCACTGCAAATGTTCCTATGGTGTTAGTGCTAATTTTCAATAAGATTTTACATTTTTCATCTTTGAAACTATCTTTTTCCAAAAAGTACCAGTTAGATACTGCCACATAACAGTATCAAATCACAAGCATATGATTTCAAGCATATTCACCGTTTGGAAGGCATTTAAACAATTTACTCCTTTTAGTATTTGCCTTTTATCATATCAAATAACTATACTGCAGATTAATCACTCCAATTAAAAATGCCACACCTGCACAGTTAAATGGATTTTATAATATGGAAATTTCCTTTGTACTTGCATCAAAGTCTGAAAAATGCTGCTGAAACTGTAGTTTGAGCTCAAAATTATATACCTACTGAAACTCTGAGTAGGAATGGAAACCTCATTTCTTTGTTTTAATTTTGACAGCATGGAAAGCTATATAAAATGACTTGATATTACTTGTGATTCAAACAACATTAGTTGTCATCAAAATAACTTTAGCATAGTATTAGTTTTGATATAAGCATTATTTGTCTTGCAATTTTAGGTTGAATTAATTAAGAAATATTATCAAGTCTGCAGTAAAAACTGATTTCTAAAGCCATTCAACCCATTCAGAAAAATTCCAATCTCAGCCTTACACTCAAAAGTCTGCAATAAAACCTCACCACTACTAAGCAATCAAACCACTGTACAGCAGGGCAAGTGAGGATGTTCAGCTTTTATTTCTGACAAAAAAATTCATGGAACTTGCAATGGCTATGTCAACAAGGGCAAATGTTATGACATTATTGGTTCCATATTACATGACAGATTCAAATAGTCTCTGCAAAACACCTGCTAAGAAACAAAACAATGAATAACCATAGAATTTAAACACCTTAAATTTTCACAGCTTTATAAATTTGTTCACCTGAGCTTTTTCCATTCTACACAGACTTTGCCATCATCCTTTATAACACGTCCAAGCAGACTGCACTTCAGGTTGTACAGAAATAGTGGTTTCTTAACTTTTTGAAAATATCTTTATCCGTAGTTATTCCACACACATTATTCATTAAGACTAATTCCTCAATAACTTCAAAGTCAGCATCAATTTCTCAAATAAACAACTGAGCAGTATTGGTAACATCTGTCAACTCATCAAGAGCCAAGGGAAACCAACTCAAAATCATTTGCCTTGTTTTTCAATTGACTATTGATGTTGTCAACTCTTTGAACAACTGTTCTTGCCAAAAGGCTCATAGTCTTAAACAAGTTTACTTTCTCCAGGCACAATTATTCTGTGCCTGCTGCAATCCAACACAATTTAGTTAACCCACCATTGGTAAATGACTTCCATACTTGGCTAACAAATGAGCCACTTGAAAATTTACTCTGTGTACAGCCTCATTTTCATTTTTTAATTCTGTGAAGAAATTCTGCTGAAATAAGATATTCCTTTTTAAGTTTTCTAACTTTTCTGACCATTACTTTCCTGTGAGTTGGCAATACTGTGATGAGTGCTTAGTCTGGTAATGTCAGTGTACACTGTATTTCTTTAAGACAGCTATAGGGTTATGGCATAATAAACACAAGGCTTTGTCATATAATTCAATAATCTACACTCCACTGGCTTTAAAAGTATAACATTCCAAGTCTCTTTTTTCCCCCATCTTTTCTTGTTTTTACATGATGGGCATGCACTGATAATAAAGTAAAATGTCACAACATAATGATGCACACAGCACTTGAAACACTGATTAGAGTGCACCAAACAGCAGTGCAAAGCCATGAGAATGCCATATGGTCTCTGTCTCAACCACTCGATTCTGCTCTTCTAGCACAAAAGTAGCCATACACAATATATAGACAACAAGTGTAGCTGTGTTCCACTAAAACCTTATTGATGGACCTTGAAATCTGAATTTCGTTTAATTTCCACATATCACAAAATAATACTTTAATATGGTTGATTTTTTCCAACCATTTAATAATACAATAATCATTCCTAGTTCATGGACCATTCAAGAACAAGTGGTAGGCTAGATTTGGCCCCTGGATTATGGTTTGCTAACTTATGCTTTTAGCTTTTAACAATCTGGTGGTGGGGAGGAGCAAATTAAAACTAAAAGGAGAAGGAGGGACATAATAAAGGGAAGAAATTGATGAAATAGAAAACAGAAAAATAGGCTGGGTGCAGTGGCTCACGCCTATAATCCTAGCACTCTGGGAGGCTGAGGCAGGCAGATTGCTCAAGGTCAGGAGTTCGAAACCAGCCTGAGCAAGAGCGAGACCCCCGTCTCTACCATGAATAGAAAGAAATTAATTGGCCAACTAATATATATAGAAAAAATTAGCTAGGCATGATGGTGCATGCCTGTAGTCCCAGCTACTCAGGAGGATGAGGCAGAAGGATCGCTTGAGCTCAGGAGTTTGAGGTTGCTTTGAGCTAGGCTGATGCTATGGCACTCACTCTAGCCTGGGCAACAAAGCAAGACTCTGTCTCAAAAAAAAAAAAAAAACAGAAAAATAATAGAAATGTTTAATATAGCCAAAAGCAGGTTCTCCAGAAAGATCAATAAAATGAATAAACCTCTAGTAAAATTGACAAGGAAAGGAAGGAAAAAACCCCACAAATAACCAAAATCAGAAACGAAGGAAGGCTATCACTATAAACCGTAGAGATATTAAAAGGCAAAAGAGACTTAATGAAATGCACAAATTCTATGATAGTCATAACATACCAAAGCTTACTCAAGAAGAAATA